AAACAAAATCGTCTGTGCAAATGTCATAAATTTTTGTTCCAACACAATATACTAGAGAGTAAAAGATCAAGTAAACCTAACAATTTATTCCAAATATATGTGTGTGTGTGTGTGTGTGGGGGGTTCTGCATTAACTTGTTTATATTCATTACACAAATTTGAAAGTGATAAAGAATTTAAATGACAAAAATATTTTTAAAACATCTTATTTTTTCACAATCTTTATAATTCAACAATATGAATAACGTTTTAATATATTTCAAAAATTTAAGCAATAAATTAATGTTACATAAGATTTGGTTAAAATTATCCTAGGCATTTCATATCAGAATCTTACAATTACATTTCATATTCTAGAAAAAAAATTCTTGAAAATTTATTTTTAAGGACATGTTTTAAAAAATAAATACAAGTTTTTGATAATTTTTGATTTCTTAAATTTAAGAAAAGCTTTTACACAATTTTAACACTTTAAATTTGAGAGATTTAAAAATTTTTTAAATAAGATATTTTAAGCAAATGTTGTACTCATATTTTACAATTATAAAAAACGTATTTTATTTAAGACTAATGATAATCTTATTTTCTCAAATTTTAAAATTATTTTTAAAATATTTAATGATTAGAAATATTTAGATACTAAAAATATTTTTTTTATTTTTAAAATTAAATTTATAAAAACTAATTTTTTAGTAGACAGCATTAAGAAAATTAAAATAAGATTTAACCTTTTATTTAAAGAGTAAATTTTATGAAGTTTAAATCTGATATTCATTTTTTTATAAAATCGATTCAATGAAATAAACAATCATCATAAAATTGGTTACTTGAAATAATAATAAAAAAAAACATTTCAAATTATCAATTATTTCCACATAAACATTAATTTATTATAAAAAAAAAATTATTTACAATTTTCTAAAGGAAAAATCTTCAAAAAATAAATTAAAAGCACAAAAAGTGAAATTTTAAAAAAAAAAAAAAAAAAGCAACTGAAAATAAAAAAATGGAGGCAGAAAAACATGTTAGAACATGTTAATATAAAAATATAAGAAACTTGTGACTTTTACAAGGAAAAATAAAAATTTTGGTCATAGTTCAATTAAAAAAAAATGGTTATAATATTCAAAATTTAATAATTAAAACTAGTTTAAAGATTTCACAGCCATGTTAAAAAGCAGCATTAATATATATATATATATATATATATATCTCAAACTGAGAGGTTCCAGGAAAAAGCAGCCAAAAATAAAGTCTAAAATAGCATTAAAAATATACAGACAATAGAAAATACATGAGATATAAAATAAGAATTTTCAGCCAATTGCTGTTGGTTAAAGTAAATTAAAATACCTTCAATCTTTTATCCACCTAAAAACAGGTAAATATTTGGCTTTGCAAGAAGTTTATGGTAAGTCAACTCAAAAATGCCAGCTTGTCTACACTAATTTATGATGCCAGGTGATTCCCTTTTCCCAAGGAGGGAAGCAAAGTGGTTAAGAGATCAAAATACTAATCAACAATTGAAATGACATACCAGATTCCTTAAGTCAATATGCTTATATTTCCTTTTATCTTGTAAACTGTGAGTAAAGACATTTACTAAAATGTATGAACTTCCTCTATATCAGACACATGTCCTTTCTTATAGACATTTAATGTAACAAGACTGTTTACTATGAAAATATACCTCAATAAAACTCACCTTTACATGAAAACGCTGTTTTAAAAATTTAAGCAAATTGTGATTTCAAATTCTACCACAATTATTAAAAGTTGATGAAAAATTGTCCTGAATCTTATGTGAGATGTTGAAGTCTCCTTTAGGCTATAATTCTACCCTAGATAGTCACTTCTATCCAGATGGACTTCATATCCTATACTCAAGCAACATTACTTTTATTATTATTATTATTATATATTTTCTCAGTTTACCTTATTTATTATTTGATATAATCCTTTACCAAGTCTTTTACTTGAGACCTGAGGTAAAGGAAGGTTTTTCTTAGAATGTTATTGGGCTTATTACATTGAGAGAGTTTTTCTGAGCATGTGACAATCACGGGCAAATGCTTGCGCATTTCAAAACAGTCAGTGATTTCCTGTGTGTGTGTGTATTAGTAGTCTTTTTAATCATTCCTAGTGCTTCTATCATTACTGGAACATTGGTTGCATTCAAATATCACATTCTATTTCCTGTTCTCTATATTTTGAAACTTTGTCCAACTCTTTGGTTGATAGGTTTTTATTAGATGTGAGTTAGCAGTTAAATTTAGTCTTTTCTTATTAAATTTAATCTACTGGCCTGTGTATAGTGCAGCCAGCATAATGAAGTCCCAGAGTGGTGCAAAATTCTCACCCTCCTGATCTGGTAGTGTTCATCCCATCTTTTTACATGGGGATGGCCGCAATGTTGGCATATCCTTCAATGTAGTTATGTCTCTACTCAACCACATCTATATTTAAATTCATTTGGAACTAAAGCAAAGTGCCTCAATATTTCCTGGTCAATTGTTTCCTCAGCAGCTATATAAAAGTATTACTTTATTGTCCTATTCAGTAAAATGCAGCATCTTTTTAGGTTTATGTTTTTGAGCAATTAGGACGAATCCGTTTCTGGCACCAACCCAGAGCTCCATTAACAAGTCAGTCTTGTACTTGCAATGGGCATAGGCCATGCAAGGGTTTGTTCCTTCCATGTGCTTCCAAGCTTAGTCAGGTCTCTACTTTCTACTTTTTGTTTTGGGCCCCTACTTTTGGCATTTTACATCCTATTTCATCTTGTTGCTTAGATGTAGATATTGTTTGAAGTTTTGATTTCCTTTAAGGATTCAATTTAGCTTGTTGAATTCCTGCTGGCAAACAAACCTTAGCATCCAATTAGTGGTTAATTCAACATCTTTCAAGGCCCATCACCAGTCCTGTATGTGTGCTCCAATTAGATTAGTCCTCCATCTTCATCAGCCAGCAGTCAGTCAGTCAGCATTTGCTTTTCTGGGGAGCAGGTTATACATGGTAAAGAGTTTTCTGATCCTTCTATCCAGATTCCAATTTATTAAATTGAAAAAGTTATGCAACCATGGCTATTGGTAAGGAGGTTAAATAGCTTCAAATTTATTTTTATGCATTTTATTCAGCTTTATAGGTTCAACTTGTCAAAAACATACTTTTCTAAATTTTTCTTTTGTTTTTGCATGTTGGATTCCTTGTCTTTTATTTATACCAAGATATTTATATACTTGTTCTAATTCAAGAATCATTTTCTTTGTCAGTTTTTATATCCATTGTTTGCACCAGTTTGTGTCTTTTGAAGGTTGCCTGAGCACACTTTTCCACACCAAATTCCATAGCAATATCAACACTGAAACCTTTTTTATTCTTGTCAATAAAAACCTTTAATTCATTATCACCCCCTTGAAAAATTTAGTCTATAGAGAACAAGTGATTAATGAATCACTCAGCCATCTGATAACCACAAGTTGTATTATTTCATTTGATAAGGGCATTAATAGAACACAGGATAATAGAAGTGAAAGAAAATCTCCTTGAAATATTCCTCAATTGATCTGATCTGTATATTATCACAACTGACTGCACCATTAAAGGGACTTAGTCATTTTTCACTCTTTCAAACTGAATTTTAAAAACTTAATAAGCAGCAGAGAAATTTTCATCAATTTTAATATCTCACTGATTCAATTATGTGGAACACTATCAACATCATCATCACACCACTGTAAAAGGACCTATCATCACAAAGTACCTTCAATGATTGTTGGTATTACATTTCACTATAATGATTTCTTGGTTTATGTATAGCTGTACTAGTCACTTACTTTTTATATACAATAATGTTTTCTGCTGTAGAAAAAGTGCTTTTTTAAGGTACTGATAACTTGCTCTGCATATTACATGACTTTTTCCTGACTATGCCTTTGTATCTTTTGTGCTGTCAAATACAATAAGTATTAAAGCTACTATAAAGATTTCCAGCCGGAATTATATTAAAACACAAAATGCAGATACAAATACAAATTAAAAAGGAAAAAAGATTAGTGTTATTTAATCCCTGTTTCTTTTTTAATCCTATTAATATCTTTAAAGCAAAATATTGGATTGTCATTTGAATTGAATGAAATCTGACCCAAACTAAAATTCATTTTCTGTTATTAATTTTCTTCCAAATATTTAACCCATATCCTCATGACATATCAAATGTATTATTGATTTTTAGATACATGGTGGATTTTGATGGAAAAGTAACAAATCTTAAGAATTTTCAAAGTATCATGAACATGTCCGGAATTATAGGCATTTTTCTTTATATCAGTTTAAACAGATACCAGGAGTCAGCAGCTACAGTTATGTTTTACCAATAAAAAAGACACCAGATAAAATTTTTCTATGAATATTACTGAAGTTTTCAACATAAGAGAAAAATTGACAAAAGACCTCACTTTTGTCCTCATTCAATGCTATTTTGCATCTTCAAAAGCACTGTGATAGATTTTGAAGCAGTCAGGATGTAATCCAACATTACACTTTTCACAAGAATATTTTGATGTGCCTCTGCATCCAGGTAATGCACATCTTCTTTGTCCCCCTTTCACAATCCAATGATTGAGGTTGTCATAACGTAGATTTTGAGCAGGATAATGTAAAATCCTATTACCAGGATATAAAGTAGTATTGGGTACACCTTTTCGGAATAGGCGGAAATAGGCATCAACTATTTCTCTTCTAAATCCCAGTGCATCCAATTTTTGTTCTCGTAGATCTGCATTTCTGAGTCGGTACAGTTGAAATGCATTATTGACAGCAACATCCACAACAAACCTGAAAAGAGGCCACCACCATTTTTTGGATCTTAAGTTTATCATATATGTTGCAATATTATGATTCATACGATCAACTCCACCAACCGATTTATTGTATACGCTGATGATGTTAGGTTGCTCAATTCCAATATGTTTCTTTTGTTTTTGGCAAAACCTTTTGACTTCTTGAATCGGTTCTTTTCCCGTGAAGGTTGACATTGCATTAACAACCTTGTTGTCCTTCCATCTGACGGCTGTGATATTACAGCAAACATCAGTAACCACGTCCGATGAGCCTCGGTCTTCATTTGAAATCTCAGCAATATCCTTCAATGGAGCATTCTCCATACGACTGACTTTAACTGTTCCAGTTGCAGCTATCCCCTTTGATTTCAAATATCTCAGCAGCTCGGGACTTGTAAAAAAGTTGTCCATTACTATGTGGTAGTTAGAGTCAAGGACTTCGGGTAATCCATTCACCAAATGTGCTACAACAGATGCACCCAAGCCTAAACCAATATCAGCATATTCTTGAAGAGTTGTATCTTTTCCAGCATAGGGGTGAAATTGAATGCAATAACCTAGAGGTGTTGCCATGACCCATAATTTGTAACCAAACTTTATTGGTTTGCCATGAATGTATTGCTTCATTCCATGTCTACCAAAATAAGGCACGATTGACTTGTCAATACTAACATTTTGTGTAGGTTGGTAATTCAACAAACATTGTCGATTGATCGAGTCAAGTAGTGGCCGAACTTTGGCGAACCTGTCAGTTTCATCAATGTAGCTGTTATCATTAAAATGTAAATACTTTTTGCATTCTTCAAATTCATTTTCTGTCATCATTGCCGAGACAAGGAGGTTATGTCCATCTTCTCTTCTTTCCCAGTACATTCCTTGTCTGGGCAATTCAGCATATCCGCTAACAAGGAGGACAGCAAGAAAGGCTTTGAATTTCTCCAATGTCAATGTAAAATTCTGATCACCTTTTAGACGCGCATAATTTGTAGATTCAAAACAAATTCTTTCCATTTCATAATTTGTGAGAAAAAGTTCAAAAAGGTCATGCGGTGACATATTCATTTCAAATGAAGGAGCAGGTTCATTCCATTTGTTCAGTTGTTCTTTGCTATTGCTGTCTGTTCTTCTCCATTCTGCTATCATGCACTTTTTTGGCATCTGGAAATAAAAATAAATATCAAAAAATGACAAAGAATTTTGGTGTTTTTTTCAAATGCCCAAACTTTTAACTTCAGAAATTGTTCAAATATGTTTCTTAAGGCAAAGCATGTGTTGTAGGCTTGCACTGCACAGCAGGATTTTTTTTTCTCTTACACAATTTAATTTTAATCATCACTTACAATATTTGTATTTAAAGGATTAGATATTTGGTTTAAGAGTAATATTGACAAAATCAGCAATGTAAATCAATTTGAATCAAAGTGAAGAAATCAGTTACATGGAATGTGATTGGGAATTTTATTTTTATTAACTCTTGAATGAAAAACCATGAGCCAGAGGGTTGAAATACCTCTAGTTAGAGGACAATGTGCTATATGGACTTTTGAAAATCTGATACCATCTAGTTTCAAAAATGTGCTTTATTGGGCAAACAGAGCTTTTGCTAATTTTTAGTGGGGTGGGATACATGTTTTTTGAGAGAGATTACTTAGGAGGGTTAGAAAAAGTGTAAATTCAACTTTGTCAAATCATCTAAACAATTATACTAGTATCTACTTGAAAAAGACGATAAATGTTAGCAGGCCTGGTGTGTACCACCTCTGACCCCCCCCAGAAATTGCAAGCTGGATTGGAAGCCCCAGGCAGTGTTTTGTGACCTTTGCTATCTTAACATTTTGTTTTTTCTACCTACATTTATATATGATACAAATAAAACTAAGCATAATTGACAAAGTATGAAAAACTTTTGTCATTCTAGTATCTTTTTTTCTTCTTGCGTCCAAATCCATGAATTTGTTTTGCTCATGCTAACCATCGAAAAAACTCTATAGAAAATTCACTATATTTTATCCATAATGTTAAATGTGTTCAAACTATTCAACTTTTTAACAAGAAAAAATCTCAAGTTGAGGTAAAAAATTGCCATAAAACATTGTTGATTTATTTAAGATGGAATGATCTATTAATGGCATGTCTCTGATTTGTATTTAGATGCATTGCATTTATTTTCAATTTTTCTACTTGAATTGTTCACCTATATTGCATATGATCTGTAGAGGACCGTGGCTGTTATGTTGTTGAGTAGACGTAGAAGAAACATGTCATGTGGGTTCAGATTTTTCCTGCTTGCCGGCCCAACTACATAAAAAGGTTGGACTTGAATTAAATCCAAAGAAGAAGGCAAGGAGAAACAAACAAAAACACAAGACCGATAATATATGTATGCAAATATATATTAATAACAAGTTACACGAAAACAGTTACAAAGGACAAAGCGTGTGTGTGAATACTCTGTATGTGTGTGTATTGTGCTTAGCGTGTTCCCAGCACTTTGAGAAACGCTATCCCTTGTTAGCGCCTACATTTCGAGGTTGTAAGCTGAAAGCTTGAGGAAAAAGAGAGATTTACCTCCAGGTGTCGAAGCGAAAGCCTGAGGGAGAAAGAGAAAGAGGTGAAGGGTCAGCGGCTATTTATAGCAGCGAAGAGCAACCCCTGGTGAAAGGGTTAACGAACTAAAGGAGGAGTTAACTCCGACAGATCCATTAATGTACATAATTAAGTTACAATAAAATTTGTATTTTATATAAATACTACCATATGAAAATTGAGATGTAGTTGAGATCCTTGAACTGACCCTGAATGTTAGCCCAGTGACTATGCCTCATTCTGGGATTGTAAAATGGTCACTGGTTTTGGTAAGTTATTTTTTTGGTTCACTTCAAGGCCAGTTTCTGACAAAAGATTTAAATACATCCACCATGCTAACCTCTATGGACATTTTTTGTGAATTTTCTATTGATACGATTGATTTTTAGTTTTGAAAAAGTGCATCTTTGCCAGCATTTTTTTTTTTCTTGACTCCATAAAAAAAAAAAAAAAAAAAATTCTGCCAAACTCAATTAATTCCAAGTCTGCCCAATAAACTATATCATTTTGAAAACTAAATGGCATCAATATTTCAAGACTCAACATGACACTTTGTCTCACAGTGAAAGTCATTTTGCCACTAATATATTTAACATCCAATATTCATCAACTGATTTCTTTGTCAAATTTTGTAGGATTAGAAAATTATAGTTAAAAAATAAATGGAAAATGAACATTTGTTGTGTTATCTAGCAAAATACCTGGAAAGCAACAGAAGTGATTTGCAGCCTTAAATAAGACGTCTCTTAATATTTTAATGAATATCATTCCCCCCCAAAAAATAAAAATAAATAAAAAAAATAATGTTTAACTTACTTTTTTTAGCCTTTTGACTTTTTTGTGGTATCCGTAGTCATCAGGTTCATGTAATTTGTCTTCTGTTGATGTGTTGGCCATTTCAATGTCTTGATCATCCATTTCTTCAAGAGAATCATTTCCAATTGTAGTATTCAGTTCAACTTGTGCACTGGCTAAAAGTTGGTATTTGTTCAATCTATTTGGATCTATTTCATTTTCTTCTGCAGAGTCCTCGTCCGTTTCACGTCCTTCAATATTCTGTGGGGGTAAAATAACTAGATTGCCATTTAAAACAAATTCGTTTTCATGTTCAGAATCATCAGATGGTACTTCAAGTTTTTCCAAATATTCAAGAGCTTCAAAAACATTCAGATTTCGTTTTGCAGCCATTTTCAATCACATAAATTCGTTACTGATGCTTTAGGCAAAAAAAAAAAAAAGAGAAAAGAAAAAAGCACACTTTCATCTAATTAATAAATTTACTATGCTTTATTTATCTTTACTTTAAGTATTTTTAATAAGTTAATAATCGTTTCAACAAAATTTGTTCTTGTGAAATAATCTCCCGCCCCTGGCGTCAAACTGACAGTACTCAACAAAAAATGGTTTTATCATCGAATCTATCATCAAACTGAATTAATTTCTAAATTAAATATAACACCAATTTGTAAAAGATTTGGATGGAAAAAAAAAAAAAAAAAAAGGAATTTTGGGAAAAATCAGATACGAAATTCTAAATTAACATTTTGGAAAGTGAAAAAAAAATGACGCTGAAATGTGGGAACTTTTCCAAGTTTTCATCTGAAAATCAAGAAAATATAAACTTTAAGCAAAATAATGAGAATATAAATTAAAACAAAAGAAAGTAGAAACTGTCAGTTTAAACTGACACCAGAAGGATATGAGATTTATAATCTTACGAAGAAAAAAGAAAATAAAAAGAAATTAAAAATTCCTTCGAAACTTAATATCGAACCAAATATTATAAACGTTATCTTTGCTAAAATTAATAATTTAAAAAACGAAACCGTTTTCTTTCTAACAAGAAAAAGATTGAAAATGAAGAATAAATTTAATTTCTTTGCAAAAGCCATGTTTTCTTTAGCGTAAAAATTCGATCCATTTTTAATTGGAAACAATGAAGGAGTGAGGGATATTTTTAATAAATAAAGGATAAAACTTCTTTCAGTCGTTTCTTAAAAACAAGTTTCGATAAAAGACTTGAGAAAAATATTTGTTATATAAACGATTAGAATAATTATTTACATTATTTATCAAAATTATTCCCTAAGTTGAAACTGAAAAAAAATTTCACTATCGGACTGCTAAGGTTGTTGTCAGTAAACGAGAAGAATTTCGCCGCTTAATTGTCGGACATGTTTGAACAATTGTAAAATAAAACCAAAACAGGATCTTTAAAATAGAATTAGTTGTTAATAAACATCCCAGAAAAAAGGGTTTGTAACAATAACAGGTAACAAAGACAAATCGCATTAAATAGGAAAACATTCTATTACCTTGGCTTCAAGCCACTGTCCATGGGCAGATAACTCCTTCAGTCGAACTGGAGGAACTGTTTGAAAAAATAAACTGCTTCTAAATGGTCATAAAGAATTGGACACAAGTCTGTATTTATTTAGGGATTCTATTCGTTACTGCCTTTTATTTTTAAGTTTTTTTTTTTTTTTTTTATCTAAACAACCTATTTTTCACCAGGAAAAATGCAATATATGTTTGAGAAAGGTTAGATGATTGAAACTACAATTGAAAAGTACAAACGTTAGTTTGAATAATTCATTGAATTATTTCTATCTATATTGAAATTATTCTCATTTATAAATAATGTTATACTATGAAAATAAATTTTTCTATCTTATGATTTTTTCTATTTCTTAAAGACTTAAAAGGGACAATTGAGTTGATTTGTAGATTTTAAAGAGCTTTTTTTATACTGTGATTAAAAGTCAATTTTTTTCAATACTTTTGAGAAGAATCATTATCATTCTGAGAGTTGTTTGAATGGCCGAGTTTATATATACTGATTGGATCAAAGTGTAGCAACTGCTATGCCTTTCCATGCCCACAATTTATTCGTCTGTGATTGGCTAGTAAATCAATACTGCTTTTCTATAACACAATTTAGCAATCGCAGTCATCACTTTGAAATTTTTGGTCGTGAACTTGCTCACATGTTTCTTTAATACAAATTAAGTAATCAAACATTTTAATACTAAATCAATTTTTTTCCATGTTTTCGCTTGGAGCCTACCGGTACCTTTAAAAGAAGCAATTTTGCCACAAGCCGCCAGTAGAGTCCAGCTATTTCGCCTGTCCACATAAATCTACGACTTTACTCACATTTCAAACACACACACAGACACAGATGTTTGTAACACATTATACATATCTCTCTCTGTGACTCAGCCAAGTTCATGAATCAGAATTCTATTAATTTCTCTAAACAACACACTTCTTAATTAACTGTATTCTATTCTAACAGCAAACTCTATTCAACATAGAATCCTGAACATTCTTATTCAAGAGAAACTCTTTCAAACATTAAATCATAAATCAGAATACAGTTGAAGGGGAACAACTTTTTTCCTTAATCATTACACTTCATTACATGATTTTTTTGTATGTTATATTTCAATATATATTTATTTGTTGATCCACATATGGAGTTTTGTTGGGTTTTTTTAATCGTTAAATGTACAATAGATATATGCACTAAGAACACACATCACAACAGCTCATTTAAAAAGACAAATGCCACACAAGTTATTCCTTTCTCAGCAATTTGTGAAATTGTAGAATCAGACTTCTACATTTGTTTAAAAACCCATTAAAAGTGACTCAGAGCGAAACTTATCTTAAATCAATCCAAGTAGCCCAACAACCCATTAAAAGTGACTCAGAGCGAAACTTATCTTAAATCAATCCAAGTAGCCCAACAACCCATTAAAAGTGAATCAGAGCGAAACTTATCTTAAATCAATCCAAGTAGCCCAACAACCCATTAAAAGTGACTCAGAGCGAAACTTATCTTAAATCAATCCAAGTAGCCCAACAACCCATTAAAAGTGGCCCCAGATAAAAAGTAACTAAAAATGCTTTCTGATTGGATAATAAACAAAAATCACAATTTCATATGTTCTCAACTATGTATGCATCATATTGGTTTAGTGTTTATCCTAAGCAGATTCAAAATTTGTGCCAAATTTCTTTGAGCCTCCCACATGACTTGAAACATCAATAAATACGAAACATCATTCGACTTTGACAGTGAGTCTTATGAATTTTCCAGCTCAACACACAAATCCATGTCACATATTTTACCAGGCTTAAAGTTAAATTTATTTAATATTTCCACAGCTTGCAAATTACACTCACTCAACTACATAAACTCAACAGGAAACATCAAGTGACACATTCAATCAAAGAGAGACAACTTCATACACGGAACAGTAATTCAAGTACAATTTTTACAAAATTCAATACCAAAAACAAACTGTTTAATTTTTGTACAAACACAAAAATACCTTATCAAACTTACCCATTTTTATACACACAATTTTTCAACTCTTAATCTTTCATATAATATCTTCATAAACACTTCAATCCACACAAGAAAAAACTTTGAAGCAATTTAAACAACTCTCAACATATAATTTTATACCTTCTATTGGTTATATATAAAAATATTTATTGTTGAACCAAAATATTGTTTCATGTCATTATTTCTCTTGTTTGCTTGCATTTTTTTACATTTGTGAAATTAAAAAAAAGTAGCAGGTTAATCACATTTAATCTCACAGCAATGTTTCTTATTTGTTATTTGGACCTCATTTGAAAAGGGATAATGTGAATCCTTCTCTGTTCAGATCTAGGCTACAAAGTGAGATTGCTTTACTTTCGTTTTATAAAAATTAATTTTAATAAAAGTGATATTAAAATTGTATGAAAAAAATAAATAAAATATTGAAATTCTGTAAAAATTAATATGGAAGCTATTTTAAGTAAAAAAAGGTAATTGTATTAAAAACTAATTAAGAAAATTAGAATGTTACTAACACAGTTTCTTTGAAAATGAAATGGCTTAAATGAAGTCAAATTGTAAAACTTATGCTACACTACAGTAACATAAAACATTTTTTGTGCAAAATATAAAAATTTTGATTTCCTACCAACTCCAAGTTTTTGTGCCAGATACAAAACTTAATTGGTAAAAACAGCAACTCTTGAAAATTGGCATAACTTAAGATGACAACTGTGTAAAATTTTAAAAGGAACAACACATTTATTTACATTTTATAAATTAGAAAAGTGCAAAACGGGTTTCACAAAAATGTCCTTTTGTGTACTTCTTTGGGCAGGATAACACTTTCCTGAGGTAACAAAAAAAGAGATTATCCACAGAAACAAGAAAAGATGTAATACAATTTGTTAGATAAGAAATGGATTCACATACAAAAAATATGTCACAATTAGTTTAAGAAATGGATTCATGTACAAAAATTAATCCCTTAAAAATAAAGAAACTTGGAGAAAGGAATAACAAAATGGCACAAGGCAGAAATTTTTCAGTAGCACCCACCTCTGTTCTTTATAGTTTACACAAATAGGACATGTCAGCTCAAAGGAGTTTGTTTTCAACCTATTTTCTCCAGGGCTCTTAGAATATTGCTGCAAAGTTAACTTATATTTTTGTGTGAAGAATCCTCCAGTAGGCTCATAAGAAATTTAAGTTTTTGGCTAGATATCTGCTTCGAATCTGTCAGCTTTGATTTTTTTACCCGTATCCTCCTTTGAAGTACGAGTGCTATTATTTGTCCAGTCTTAACAATGGCACATCCTTGGCTCCTGTCTGTTGTCCTCCTCTGCTATCCACTGATAGCAGTGCTTTTTATTGAAAAATTGACTGTGATATCAGCTCCAGCCAATATTTAAGATTGGCCAGCAAACTTGTTTCTCATTGGCCAATATATATAAATAAACCTCTCCAAGTTTTCAAAAAAATATATCTGAAACACTTCAAACAATTTTGGTGGTTCACCACTTGAGCCTAAAAGGCCATAAAAAATATACAAAATTTAGCATGGAAACCATCTATCCCTTCT